AGAGTGAGTTAGGAGAGTTGGTGATCTCTTGGACAAATCATTAAAGGCGCCAAGATAGGTTCATCACGAGCAGGAAGGAACAAGGAAAACATGAGGTTTTCCCCGTGACGAGATCCTATTCTCGGGCCCTCGACAACTTGGTATCAGAGCCGGTCGTCATGGGAGATCTACAGCAGCTATCATCCAGGGTCCACGAACTGGAGCATAGGCTCGTAGAAACCAGCAGGGAGGTTCGTGAGGTCAAAGACGATGTCTGGAAGCTGCGACGCTTGCTGGAATCGTATTTCTCTAATAGGGAGAGGAATCCAGAAGGGGTTGTAACCACAAACAGCCTCCGACCAGACTTGATGGAGCCGTCCGACGAACAACAGCAGCAGCAGCAGACTCTTCTTGGTCCACAGCAGCAGCAACACCCTCAGCCACAGCAGCCAGACAACCAACAACAGCAGAAGCAACAACATGATCAACAACAGCAACAGCAGCTTCTCCGAGCAGCTATTACTAGTCCTAGTATAGTTGCCCCGAAACTGGCCCCTAAGTCCTATGGGCCTTTCAAGGTTCTACAACGGATTGGCAGTGTGGCCTACCAGCTGGAACTGCCCAAGACCAGCCGAATTCATGATGTCTTCCACATCGCCTTGCTGAAACCATTTATGGGTGTTCCTCCGGACCAAGTCCCCTCCCTGCCACCCCTGCAAGATGGCAAACTGATTCCCCAACCTAAAGTTGTCATCCGCTCTCGTTTCAATCAAGGAGTTCTTGAAGTCTTGGTGAAATGGTGTAGCTTACCATCGGCCAAAGCCACATGGATCCCATTGACAAAGTTCCAAGCCACATATCCGGAGTTTGAGCTTGAGGACAAGCTCGTAGTCCAAGAGGGGAGTAATGTTATGGACGCAATCCTCGGAAAGGCGTACCATTGCCGCCGACAGCAACAAGAACCTAACCCACCGCCAGATTAGATTAGATCATCTTGCTTGTTCTTATCTTATTCTATTGCTCTTATCTTATCTTGTTAGTAAGTTATCATATTATGATTAGCTTATCTTATCCTTAGCAAGATAGAATTGAAAGTCTCTCTATTCAGCAATGAGACTCCCTAAGATTAGGATTCTTGTAATCTCTTATTTAAGGAGACACCATTATTGAATGAGGATATCAAATTATTCAGTCAGATAGTGAATTATGAGAGTTGGTGATCTCTTGGACAAATCACCAAAGGCGCCAAGATAGGTTCATCACGAGAATGAATGAACAAGGGAAAACAGGAGGTTTTCCCCGTGGACCGACCCGTGACGAGATCCTATTCTCGGGCCCTCAACACCAAATCAATTAAACAGCAGTCTCTGATTACTTCGTTAAACTCCTCCATCTGCATCTCTGGTCGTTTGACGAATTCCAATCTTCTTTTCCTTCGATGCAACTTTCATGTTGTTGGAGAGTTGGGTGCGGTGTAGGGTGATGCCTGGGACGTTGAGGAGGGTGAACACGTTGGCGCAGGTGAGTGTGTGGGGAAGATGAGTGCAACATCGGAGAAGATGAAGGGACCAAGAGCTGTGTGCATCATCGACCGTCCATGCTAAGAAATCAGATGAGACGATAGAAATCAGATGTGTGATAGACAAATACGAAATTTAATGGTTTCTAATCATACTCGATTCATTTTTCCTCAAAAGAGACTTGCGATGATTTCGAGATTCAAGGACGCATGGAGAGGTAGAAAGATAGAAGTGATTTTTGGCTACCTCTTGTGCTCGAAAGTGATGAGAGGATTCAAGCTCTTCCCCTTCCTCTTCGGTAGATCGATTGATTGATTTGCTGCGAGTTTTTAGTTCATCGGTAGACGATAGATAAGAAAGATATTTTTAGGGTTTAAAATCAAGGGCGCCCTAAAAAGTAAAAACAATACAAAGAATAACTGATTTGTTTTCATGTTATATTAAGAGGGTTAATCATCGTTTTCTCTTCACCACAGAGTGGAGCTTCTGGGTTTCCATCGGTAGATTGGCAGGAGGTGCCGGTGAGAGTGGCTCTTGAAGAAGATGGTGAAGAAGAAGGGAGAGGGAGAGGCATGAAGGGTAAAATTGGGTTTAAAAAATTATGTCACATGTGATTGAATATTAATAGATGTTAACAATTAAGAGTAGAGAATCGATTGTTAGAAATAGAAAGAAAGGGTCAAATAATAGGGTATACTTAGTCAATTAACTTTAGTTAAACCATAAGGATAGTTTAAGAAATTTGCCCTTTTAAAATTTTGTTTGCTTGGCTTAATTTACTTATCTATGTTTATTTAATTTACTTAATTAACTTAGTTTTCTTAATTAATTTGTTTTCTTATTCAATTGCTTAATTTACATAGTTGGCTTAATTTACTTAATTATCTTAATAAATGTAATTTATTTAATTTACTTAAATAACTTTATACCATCATAGACCCTAAAGTAATTTACTTAATTAACTTAAAAGTAGCATTTTCAAACTTGATTAGTGCCACATAAGCATGGTTTTACTATTTTATTCATTGTCTAATGGGGTCCATCAACAAAATCTCTATTGTTGTCTATTTTTGCCTTTAAGTGGTCTGTAGTTTGACGGTAAAAATGGCCATTTTAATTCTTTAGGGTTTAAAGTGATTTTTTTTTTTTTGCAAAGTTCAAGGGTTGTTAAAATCAAAAGTCCTATATAATGTGTTTCAATTTAGTTCTAATTTATGTTTTATTTTATTTCTTAATTTTGTATCAATAAAAAAAACTATAAATGGGGGTTTGAGGCCAAAAAGAGGGGGGTTTGGCAAAATAGTAGGGTAAGGCACCTCTAGAACCTTGGAACAGATAGATCTCGAAAAATTATCCAAAAATAAATAAATCACCCAAATCAAACAACCAAGCACAAAGTATGGCTTCTATAAGCTTTGATATACATGTATGCAACTCGTGACCCAGGTGATCAAGTCAAATGGGTCAATGATTCAACCACCTGGGTCTCTAGAAAAACAGTTTTTGGACAATTTCCAGGTTTTAGAAAAACCGGACCACAAAAGGGGCCAGGTAACAAACAGTTCAAACGGTCCAACCATCTAGGGCAACAGCATGTTGAAAATATTGGAAGGGCAGCATTCAAGAATCAAGATGTATATAACAGTCAATTATAAACACCATTGGACCTGAGCGCATACACTGTCCAACACAACCACGTGACTAGGATTGATGGATGCATCAATAGTAAGGATGGATATCTTGATAATGTGGACAGAAGAGTCTGATCGCTTGATGTCTAAAAGCATTAGCTTGTTGAACAAAGAAACAACACTTCTAAGAATGAGAAAACGGGTTCCACAAAGAAGAGATGGCATCACTTGTATTGATTCTCAGTTGACAATCAAACCATAAATGTTAGACAAAAACAATGAAAAACAAAAGCAGCTGTAGAGCAATATATAAAATTAGAGAAGCTCATGCCAAGTTCTTGGCAGGCAAAGGAACCTTATTTTTCTGGTAAAGTGAAAAAAGGGGAAGGAAATTAAGGTCTTTGTCATTCTCATCATGTTCATCCTCATTACAGCTTAGGCTTCCCAACCTCTGAGAACGGTTGCTCGTGCAACCCTGTTAACACCAAGAGTGAAGGCACCCATGCGGAGATCACAGTTGTGGGTTTTGCACATCTCCTTCACATCCTTGAAGCCCTTGGTCATGTATGTCTTAAGCTCATTATTCACTTTTTCCTCTTCCCACATAAATCCTTGGATATTCTACAATGTAGTAAACCATTCCACAATCAGAACACCATAAACATCAGTTCATGGAAAGCATGAGTGAAGTTGGAACAACTGTAGATTCATATTTTGCAAAATCAGAAAGCAGTAAAAGTTAAAAGGCAGTCACAATTGGTGATAACTTTTTGGTACCTGAACCCACTCGAAATAACTCACAGTAACTCCACCTGAGTTCGCAAATATGTCTGGAAGAATTACAACACCTTTCTTTTCTAAAATCTGCATAGCGTAATCAAATTTAGGTCATGATAGAAAAGCCAAACTTCTTTCTAATAACTATTTGATTGCTTATAATTCTCAGCTCCATTCAATGTTCACCTCATCAGCCTCTGGGTCAGTTGGATGGTTAGCTGCCTCTATAATGAACTTGGCTTTGATTTCATTTGCGTTTTCCCTTCAATCAGAGAAAAACAAGATATTTTTGACTGAACTTAGCAATCTATGGCAATGCAAAGGGAAGCCATGCAAAGTTGAGACTCTACAAATATTTCATATATCCAGTAGGGATTCTTAAGAAACACCCAATTTCAAACAACACTAGTGTTCTGAGTTATCAGGAGAAGAACCTGTTGATAACACCACCAAGGGCTGCTGGGATGAGTACGTCACAGTCCTCGACCAATATTGATTTTGGATCAATGGGATCTCCACCATCGAAACCTTTGATTCCACGCTGTTCTTTAGAATGTTTGAGTAGTTTTGGTACATCAAGCCCTTTGCTATTCTTTATTGCACCTGTAATATCACTTACTGCCACAATCTTCCCACCATTTTCACTGATTAGTTTAGCAGCCCAGGAGCCTACATTACCAAACCCCTGAAAAATTAAAAGAAAAAAAAAATGTTATGGGACTCCTTAATGAGATGGAATGAAAAATGGATATAATGGATGCTATTTTTTTTATTAATAACCATGATCAAAGAGAATTTTATTAATGGCAAGGAAGAAAAGCCCCTGCTGAATGATGTGAAATAAATATGGATACAATACTTAAGCTTCTATGTTTGTTTTCTTCTGCCAAACCAACCTAAGGGCTCCATTTTCTCCAGTTTTTTTACTTTTCTCCTGGGTAGCTTCCTTGTTTAACCTACTTGTGGTTGAACAAAGATAACTACTCAGATTTCAAGAACTATTTATGTTTACATTTCCAATTTTCCCATCCATGGCATTTATACTTGAGGTAAATTGGGAGGCCACAGAGGTAGAGTAGGGATCTTCTGCCAACAAACACGTTCTCACCATGAGACTGGGGCCCACCATAAAAGTGGGACCCGCCTTGTATGAGATGTGCGGTGTGAGATGATGTTGGTAGAGGGTTGGAACATGTTTTGTTGGAAGGTGATCCGGACTCACAGAGGTAAGGACATCCTGATCCATGAAAGGCTTTGTACCTAAAAGGATGTTCAACTTGTTACTTGGACAAGAAAGATGGACCTGTATAACAAATCGCTGATCTGAGATGCTCTTTCCATATTCTTGAAGCAGGGATTCTGTTGCATAAAGTACTCCTCTTCCTGTAGCTGCTTCCCTACCCAGAGATCCACCTAGATCCTAAGAGAGAAATTACCATAGTCAAACCATAGAAAGAAAGAAATTTCTACTAACTGGTAATGTCAATGGGAACATTGCACCAGAAAAAAAATCAGAAACAAGGAAGAAGATATTTAAACTTATAACTTACTTTTAAGTTAATAACATAATTTTTGGAACAGAGAAATAAATAAAAAAAGCAAGTAACTAAAACATATCAGCATTAAAGCTTCAAAAGACTTAATAGATGCACAAGTAAATAAGGTATTAGCAAAAACCTCCACAAGGTATAAGGACCAACTTTGCATTAAAAGCATGTTATTTATGTTGGTGATACAAAAAATGCAGGTCACAGGGTTCAGTAATACTTACAACAGGTTTTCCAGTCACAATTGCAGGTGAATAGCCATGAAACTTTGAATATTCATCTAGTATCCATGCCATTGTCTGTTAACAATTGGAACAAACAGAAATCAATTGATAAAATTAGAATAAATTCCAATTAAACTTTTAATGTGTATGATTGGGAATCATGTAATTGTACTTTGTACTGCCACATGGTAAACTACTAGAATTGTTGTTTACCAAGAAAAAACGAAACTAATAGAATCAGTTAATTTCTCTGATTCTCTCACAAAATAGAGGTTATAAAAAATGCAACTACCAGAATTATCATAGCAGATCTAGTTGTTAAAACTGAGGTATTTCATGAATTAATAAAAAATCTTACATAGAACAACAAACCTGTGCATTTGTTCCCATATCAGGTGCTGGAACATCCGTATGGACTCCAATTAGATCATGGATTTTTTGAGTGAAAACTCTAGTGAGTCTCTCTAGCTCAGATATGCTTAGTTTCCCTGGATCACATCCTATTCCCCCTTTAGCACCACCATATGGAATATTTGCTACTGCTGTCTTCCATGTCATTAGCTGTGCTAGAGCATTCACCTCATCTGGATCAACCTGAATTGTCAATAGAATTATTCTCAACTGAAGCCTGATAAGTTGTCATCTTTATAACATAACATCATTTCTTCCATACTTCTAGGGAACAATAGAAAGAGTATAAGATACCGTAAATCCAAGAAACAGGAGATACGAAGACCACTTCATTATTATTGGCTAAAGGTTAAATATGAAAGGCTTTATGCAGAGGAAAGCAGAGGACTTGAACTTGTTAAACAATCATAGTTAATAACAAATTAGTATTTCCCTTTCAGATTTAAGATTTGTACATAACCAACCTCTGGGTGGTATCTAATTCCTCCTTTCATGGGGCCTCTTGCATTATCATGCTGAACCCTGAACCCAACAAAAGAAGCCAATGTGCCATCATCTTTGGGGATGGTGCATTCAACCTGAAATTGAGTTCAAATGCAGTGATGAATTGAGAAAACTCAGAAAGAGCAAACCATACAAGTAAACAACAACAAAAGAATGCAGAACGGAGGACTAGAGACCACCAACCATATTTGTTGGAATGCACTTTATTCTTCCAAAAAGAAAATAACATCATGTATTTTCCCACATGACACTTAAAATTAATATTCTGATTTTTGACAATGCTTTTGCTCATAGATGCAGATGCAGTAGTTTTTATAGGGTCAGTTATAGACTAAGAACTGTACTGAGTCATGATGGTTTGGCAATGACTGGGGTAGTAAGTCCAAAATCCGATACTCTAAGATGTTATTAAGGATTTTTTTTTCCTTTTGATAAACTGGTAAGTTGTGCACTGAGCCACTGACTATCTGCATTTGAAAACTGAAATTTAAAGACTGATATTTGGGGTAATAAATCCTAAGATCATGAAAGTTGGGGCTGATTTACAAAATTTGTAAGAGAATTAATAATATTTGTCAGACGAAAACAAGTAACTAATACCATAAGAAAGAAAAGCAAAGGTGAAAAGCAAATTGTCACCTTGATCTCTCTGAAGGGAATTAGTAAACTCTTCTCGAGTTTCGAGTCCAATCCCAGAAGCCTGGCTGCCAGCTTAAAATTTCTATTGGTGGCCGCCAACGCATTCATGGTTGATCCAAGAGCTGGCTGAAGAACTAAACACAAGCAAGCAGATTTCTTATATTTAACATCATAGAAGAAGAACCAAATCTAAGTACTCATTTACAGATCTTTCTTATTATTTCCCTTTCAAACCCAAAAGGGTATCTTACCAGAAGCTCTAGTGGGCTAGACTGCTAGAGTTGTTGGTCTGTTGCAGAATGTAAGCCAATATTGATCTGAAACCTGAAAATACTGGAAAGATAGGGGGAATTCATGAGCCTTCCTGCTACTAACCCAAACTAAAACCGGAAAAGATAGAGCATATCAAAATCCCCATTACATTACCCAAATGGGTATCTAAAACTGTGGAAGATGGATCATTTCTAAGTTCTAACTACCTTGTCAAGGTGTTGAATCATAACAGATGTGTTTGTTTCCAGAAACGGGTATCTTACCAGTAGTTCTCTAGGACCAGCTGTGGTGCCCCTGCTGCATGTAGTCAGTTCCAACTTCCAAGGAACCTGAAAAAAAGAGACAGATGAGGAAGATCAAGCACGCGCTCCATTGATGCCAACTCATATACAAATATACAATTACAAGCAGAGTCAGCAATGACCTATCTAATCTATCTCAAACCTTAGTTTCATCCGGGGAAGGTGGTCAAAGTCCACGTTAGTGTGCATAACTATACAAGAAGCCCCAATCAGCGGATGAGAAAGAAAAGGGAATTGGATGCTTGGGGCGGCTCTTTAGGCGGAAGGGACAAACGGATCTCAAGCAACTTTTTGCGAAGGAGAAAATCGAAACCGCGTTTTAGACACCAGCTGACAAGCGCTGACGTGTTTTGGTCCTTATCTTTTGATTTTTTTTTTTTTTTGGGCTTTTTTTAGGTCGTGTCACTGCAGTGACTGCACTACTGAGTCTCACCCGACGGCCCAGCCCGATCTTTATTGGGCTTCGACAAGGCAAGTTTTCAGGCCTGCGGCTTCCGGCTCCGGCTCTAAGCTAGAGGTGTAAGAGAGCCGCGAGCCTACTCGCAAGTTATTTGGGTTCGGCTCGTTAAATAGTAAATACTCGAATTTGGCTCACAACAATCAAGTTCGAGTTGACCGTAACTCTAGTCAAGTCGAATACATGGTCGAGTCGAGTGGAGCCTTCCAAGTTCCAATAATCGATTTGAATGGCTCGTAAATTTAAGGAAAAATAAACAGTATCATGAACTTTGGGGACTGCGTCAAGGCAATCCCCAAAGTTCAAAATGTGTCTCTCCGGTATTTTAACTTTTAAATTGTGTATAATAGGTTCTCACCATTAATTAAAATCATCATGTAACATTAGGTGCGTATTAAATAATTTTAAAATGGTAAAATTATTTTTTATAATATTTTTTTTCATCATTTTATCTGAATGTTAGAAGAATGAAAGGGGAAGAAGGGTTATGAAATCAGACACTGATCAACTCCCCTGTTCAACAATCAACTATAACCGGACGATCAATTTGCCATTTTGAAATGGATAAAATGGTGAAAAAATATCATAAAGGGTAATTTTACTAATTTGAAAATATTTAATATGTGCCTAATATCACATGATGATATTGACTAACGGTCAATTAACGGTAAGAATCTATTAAACACAATTTGAAAATTCAAGATACTTCAGAGATATGTTTTGAAGTTTGGGAACCGACTTAACACAATCCCCTAAGTTTAAGGTACTATTTAGGAATTTTCCCTAAATCTAATCAAGCTCATAGTAAAATACTGTTTTTTAATATATTTGTATTTATAATATAAATAAAAATTAATTTTCGTAATTTTAATATATTTAATATTAAATTCATTTATAACTTTTAATACTAATTTATTTATAATCGATTTGAGTCGAGCTCGAGCTAAATACATGAAACTCAATCAAGTTTGAACGGCCTGATACTTGGCTTAAGTCGACTTGATTACACCCCACTCTAAGCACCAAGCCTAATTATTTTTCAGGTGTATTCAAATATAACATTATATTATAATATATCTGTGCAGATCGGATTTCGGTGATCAATCATCATGCGCCAAGGTGAACTTACCAAAGCATTAGTGAAATAATTGGGCTTGACCCATGTTATGATGGGTTTTGACAAACCAACCCGGGTTATCATGCTAAATAAGAACGTTTGATTTTGTACAAAGCAGAGGTCTAGCTTTGAAGGTTATATGGTATTTGACACACAGATCAAAGTTCAGGCTGGCACAGTTGGGTGTTGAATACATTATGCTGAAATCTGTGAAGGAACTCATCTACTTCGGTGAAACTTTCCAATCCAAACCAATAAGTTACAATCACAACATAGATCATGGTAAAATCCAGGCCCTTTTACGGCCAAAACTATGTTTTTTTTTTCCGTTTTTTACAATTTACAGGGGAAATTGCTGATTCACACGGTAAAAATGGACAAATTATTAGACTTCCTTTCAGGAATGTAACTTGGTCCGGGTTAGTCTAAACCTAAACCGAAAAAATGACATCTTAAGCCATGTTTGGTAGTAATTTTTGGCTTAAACGGGATTCTAAAATAGTAACTCTTGAAATGGGCTTTTTACAAAAGCACTTTTTAAATATTTGGCTAGTCACAAGTTTTTTAGTTCCACATAGTAGGTGTTAGGTATCGATGTGATGTCGTTGCTCCAGAACTATTTTCTGAGAAAACGGTACTGTATGTATGGATGAGGATCTATTGCACTATTTTCTCAGAAAATGGCTCCTTTTTTGTTTGACATCCGTACTGCCACATAGGATGTTTCTGGGAAACAGAATTGGTTTTGCTTGGTGCCAGTGCTGTATAACCATTTTCAACATTAGTTTACATTATCCAATGGTTCAGATGATGCCACATTGGTGTCAGTCATTATACCCTTGGCAGCAACAAACCGGAACCTCAGAAAATGTTGAATTTAACATTTCCTTAGACCACACTTTCCCGATTTTCAAGACATGGTCTGAGACAATGTTTTTCTAAAAAAACAGAACCAAACATGAGACCATTTTCTGAGACCATGTTTTTCTACAAATATATCACCAATCTAATAGCTATTTTTTTCTCATGATATACACATACTTGTAATTTTGTCATATTTATGATATTGAAACGTGTCAACTTAACAAATAAGTAGGTTTATTACTAAATTGCTTGCCCCATATGGTCTCTACTCTGACCTAGACCCAACCGAACTCATATTGACAGCAATTAGGGTTGGGTCAGGGTCAAGGTTTTGTGCAATGCCTAATGATATAGGCATAGGCGCATAGCATTACTAAAGCACCATAAATTTATCTTTATGTATTAAAATTTTAATTCTGAAAATAAAAATATCTATAAGAAGATGAAGAAAATCAGACCAACCCTTCCCAATTGGATAGGGTCTAAGGTTCAAAATTTTGACACACCTTGATAATGTTAGGATGGTGTGTATTGAATGTTTTGACGATACGCATACCGTTTCTTTTAAAAAATTAGTCAAGGGTTGGTCTTAAAGGCTTATTTGGTTGCAGTGCAGATTTATTTAAACCAGTACAAATGTATGAAAAATAATTTTGTTTTGGATTTTTCATTTATACTGCAATCAAACAAAATAAGCTAAAATTTAGAACAAAAATAAGTCAAAATTTACACCCAAATCATTTGCCCTGTCATGATTTTGCATCGGTTCAAATTTATTTGCATTGCAACCATACACAGCCTAAATCTCAAACCAATACGTTATAAATTTTTAAACCTTAATTAAAATTAGCGAAAAACTAATCCACTGCGCATCGAAGATGGAAACAGGGCAAAGACAGAACCTATGTTTTGTTTCAGTCCAGTACAAATTCTACTACAAACTTCAAAAGAAAACCAAAATTTAGACAGGAATGTTTGAATTCATACCTATAAATCGAGAAGAGCTCCGACGACTTCAGAAAGATAGATGGATTAGCTTCAGCTTCGAGCTGCGGATGGATCAAATCAAACGCCGAATCTACATAATAAATAGCAGAAACTGATCACGGAATGGAATCAATACCGGAATCCAGAAGCTTATCTTCAAATCACAGCAAGTAGACGTAGATCTGTAGGCCAAGGCCTCAAAATCAAAAAAATGTCTCCGTGTATATAACAAATAATTAAAAGCCAAAAAGAGGATAAGGAATAAGGACGGAATGATCGATCAAAATCTCCGTAGAAAATCTTTTTTTTCAGAGGAATATGATGCTAGTTGCAGGAGGACCCTACTTTGAGCTACGAAATCGCACGCAAGCCTTCCATTATCGACCTCCAGCACGTCAGAATAGAATCAGACGTGGACTCGTAAAACCCTTACCCCTCCCCCCTCTCGAATCCTTCCTCAACTTCGTGAATCCGACGCGAATTCCACCATGCAGAGAGACTATCATTCATTCGTAGCTTTTGGAAGACATAGCGGGGTCTCCCGTCTCCGCCATTAGAATTCTGGTTTTTGAGTTTTTCTGATGTTAAGAGGGAAAAGGTGGAGCATTTTGATCCTATTTATTAACACAGAAACTGCTTCTATTTGCAGCTGAGCCTCAGAGCGTCGGCTGCTCAGCAGCTCCCCGACTTTCCATAAACGAGTTATAGGAAATCATAGGCGTGGAGATAGAGACTCACCTACTGTAACATTTCCATTTTCGAACTTCGAACTGAAACGGCCGACCGTATTCTGTCCGAGTGGTTTGGAAATGATAAGGTGTTTCACGAGTCATGACAACGTAAATGATAAGTGCGTTTAAGTGGAACTCTAGCTAGCTGGGCCCATTTGATGGACAGTTGTTAAGCAAGAGTTGGGATCTCCTACCAATAAAACACGTTCCAAATCGCTGCGAACTTCCTCTAACACCGCATATGAAGCGACGGTATCTGCTCCTCACAAATGGGCGCCTCACAGGTATATCCACAATATCTCGCCGGGCGTGTGTGAGGCGCCGGGTGTGAGGAGCAGATCCAGTCTCGCATATGAACGAGATGTGTAATGCCAGAACATGTTGGCAGGGGGTTGGAACGTATTTTGTTGGTAGGAAATCCGGGCTTGATAAGTAGCTATTTATACAACTTTAACTCAAAAATAAGAGTCTGTTTGGGAGGGTTTATAAGGTGATGGAGCTCCCAAACCACTTCTAAAATTCTATCTAATGTAACTTAAGTCGAATTTTGGGATCATGTAAGTCTCGTGTTTACCAAATCCAAATGGGGCTTCACAACTTTCATGATTTCACAATTCATGCAACAAGTTGCTGTTCGAAAGTCATCCCAAATGGACACTAAATAAATAAATAAATAAAATGTTGTTTGGCAAATCTTTTTAGAAAGATCTTTTAGCATACTAGATAGTCAGAAGATATATTGAACTTTTGGGGTCTTGTCTTTAGAAATAAAGACGGTTTGGTAAGCGACTCGATTTACTGAATTTTTAAAAATGCTTTTAAAGGCTATCTATTAGGCATAAACACTAGAAAACTTCATTTGAAGCTTCCCAAAATTTGATGTTTTCAGTCTTTTTAGATATTTTTGTATGCAATTATGCATGTCTTTTCATCTTTCTAGATTTTGGTTACCAAACAGAAAAAGACTGATTCTTTTGTCTTTCCAGCTTGTGGAAACTCAAAAGACCGTGTGAAATGAACGTTTTCATTCTTTTTTCAATTGATAATCAAAAGCTGAAAGGATGATTCCCATTCCTATTAGAACGGCTATTTGTCCACACCCCCCTCTCCTCTAACAATTAAATTAAACCCTACAAACTCCAATGAGATAAGTCACCCTTAGGCCCTATTTGATAACACTTAAAAGAAGTACTTCTTTTAAGACATGGGACCACACATTAAGTGGTCTTTAAGTACTTATGGATGCTTGGTAAAAAAAGAGGGTAATAAGTATTTATTTTTAAAGAAGTACTTATTTAAAAAATTAACTTGAAGTTAGCTTTTTTATAGTATTTTTTAAAGAAGTACTCCAAAAAAATGGGACGAACCAGTCCCTAATATTTTCTTGTAATACCTAAAATACCCCCACTCCCATTCTCTTATTTTTCTCTTCCTCGCTCTCCTTGTCTCTATCTCTCTACCAACACGACGTCGGCGGTCGGTGTATTGGCCGGCAACCGGTGTACCGGCCAGCAGTCGGTGTACCAGCGATGTCGATGGCAGGTGTACTGGCCGACAGTCGATGTACCAGCGACGTCGGCGACCGATGTACCGAGCTTGATACCGGGCCATTGATGGTAGAAATAGTGTTGACCATGAAGTGGGGTCAATGTGGACTCTCACTTGTGCACGTGTGAGCCCACATGGACTCTTAGTTAAAATGTATAACATAACACACACACACACAATCATTCCCACCCTAAGAACTGAGGGCTAAAATTGTCATTTGTATAAATATAAGCACTTATGGGGAAAGTAGCTTACCAAACATTCCCACCCCAATAAGTATTTAAAAACATAAAAAGTGATTTGAAAAAATGGGCAAACAGCCTAAAGGATTGTTTAAACAAGTATTTCTAAGAAGTACTTCTAAGAAACAAGTACTTCTTTTAACAAATACTTAATCATCAAACAGGGTCAATTTGATGCCAATTTCAATCCCATTTGAATTTAAGTCTTAGATAGTGTCTAGCTCCTGCGAGGGAGTATACACTGTAATTAATCTGTAAATACCCCATTTCTTCCCGTCATCGAAAGAGATCAATCACCATCAAGGAGATCGATCAACCGTCTCAATACTAACCATGTTCTATATCTAATATCCAATGGCCATATTCTCTTGCATGAAGTGCTCGTTCATTGTCGTATGGTAGGACCTAGGATGTATGTTCACAAACAATAACATTACATGTGTGAGAATCTGCTGCACTTGCATTTAATCACTAATTTAAACTTAGTCATCATTGGAAACAATCTCATTTTGATGCCAATTTTAATTCCCATTTGAATCAAACAGGGGAATAGGTCATTCCAATTCTGATTTCAGGAGATTTACATTCTAATTCTGATTTTGATTGCAAACTAAATGGACCCCAAGACTTGATTGACTTTTGGTGAAAAATGCAACTGTTAAATTATCGGAACCAGTTTGACTAATTCCTTGTATTTATAAATTTTATTTTTATCACTCTATTTATGATTTCATGCCAATGGGACAGATGAACCAACTGAACCACGGATGAACCATGGAACCGATGGCCTTTCGTGGTTGTTGTCCATCCAGTTTTCATTTTCAAATCTGACCGGAGGCGAGACGGTTGTGACTCTTTTAAAGTTTTTATGAACGCACACATAAGGATGCCAAAATGGACCGGGATCCATCAACCCAAACCCAACCCGAAAACACTCCCACTACAACAAATAGAATGCTGAACCCAACCTGCCTTGTTCCTTCCACAAATGATATTCCTGTACTCGTCTAACATTATTTTTACAAATATTTCAATGCTGATATGTCAATGGGTTGGGTTGACACGGCCGGGTTGGTCTTTACCCGAATCCAACCCCAAACCCATAGCTTTAGGTTAAGATGGGTTTATCACTAAACCCAATCCACTAACCTCATTACACACCTATAATATCTTAGTTTGGATCTTCTGACCATAACACATTGTTGGCCACGTTTACCCATCCCCATGTTGTACCTACACACCTATAAGAAAGGCGAGGAGATAAGGTCATCAGTGGGTGCAAGTAAGGTTCCACAGACATATGTGATATTTTCCTATTGAGAGTTTTGAACCATTGACACTCTCACTTAATTTTACTTTTTTTTTTTATTTTGACAATTTAACATTGGGAGTTCAATTATGGTGCATTCATTAATAAAGGTTGCACCTTATATCCATATCTCAACCAATCAGGTTAAAATTCACTTATTTTTCATTAGTTTATATTTCAAAAAAAATACTTTCACATTTAGCGAACTGTACTTACTATTACATTCAACCAATCACTTCTTTCGCTGCAATAGATGCACCATAGGTTTTGTTTGACGATGGACGTTTTTTGGCGTATTAGATGCATGTGTTTTGCGTGTGACAAATTTTGATGATGATGATGACTGTTTTCTAAACTTTTTTACAATTTTTTTTTATATTTCAATGTCTATAAAAATAATTCTTATTCGTCACACTTAATTTTGTTTAATATGATGAATATATGATATTAGAGATGTAATGTTTTTTCACAATTTTTTTTGTATTTTTTATACTTTTGTGTGTTTTTATTTTTTTAATTTGTATTATTATTTGACATATTTGACCCTAAAAGATTGATGTTGACTTGCCACCAAATAGGAAAAGAATAATATTTTTGGGTTGGTTTTAAATTTGTATTTTTATCCTTTATCATACTTATTTTTTCTTTAATTTAATATGATTAATTAATATAGGATTCAATGAAATAATTAAGTTAATACTCCTAAAATGTAATTTATTTTTTTTATTTTACCAAAACACAAATTACATCTTGTACCCTCACAATTAGGGGGGATTTAAAAATAAGGGTATTCTAGTCAAAATAGGATTCAATAAATGTTAATGGAAGTCAATACCTTAAAAAACTACTTAACGAGAGGAATTTGAATGAGGAAAAAAGTAATTATTTAAATTACTTTTCCGTTCCTATAATTAGATAGGGATCAAATTAAAAAATTGAGACATTTTAATCAAACAAAAGTTTCACACTCTCATTTACATTTTTAAGTTTTAATCATAATATAGATAATAATAATTAAACGTCATAACTAATTTGCGATATATTAAACCTTAATTCCAACCAATGAGGTAATGAGAGAGGAAGATACACTATTATTTGTATTATAATTAATAATATGGATATGGATGTACTTATCCATGCAACATACACTAGCTTAGGTTATGACGCCAAATATAGTACTATAATAATATCATTACTTTTTATAATAGTAATAAAAGAGAGGGATTAACATATGAAATTGGTTCTTAGAATAAAGATTTATGGTCCCAGATGCTCCCGAATTGTGGGTTTAAGGTCGTGCTTGGATTCCACTACAACCAGCATTACCTTATTGGTTCGATTCAAAGCCAACAAAAAAAAAAGAAAAAGCAGATTAGAAAGATAGGGATAAAGAAGACAACAAGGCATCGCCCACTAGGGCATATGCTTCTATTATGGGACAACAGACCCTCCACCAACTGGCCAGTGGACGTTTTAGTTTTGTTAGTGTGTGCTTAGTTCCATTCCAGTCAAGAGCACAGCCATTGGGCTTTGTATTTGGTTGATCCAATTTCCGGTTACTATTGGTTGAATTTTCTAGTGTTAGATATCAGTTTGCTAAATGCTTCTTTAGAAATCTTGCTTTTTAATTTACAGTCGTTTGGACTGAGTTTGAGGGGTCTTGTTCTATTATTCTAGCCTGTCCATGAGTATTATATCTGTCTCAAGAAAGAGATCCGCTTCCATCAGGGCAAATCTGTGACCATACCGTTCTAACAGTCTTTTGATACCTTGTAGGGCTGTTCACGGGTCAAGTTGGGTCGGTTTACTGAGATTTTTCTAACTGATTCGA